CAAACAACGGTATAGGCCAAGAAACCCGGCGATGCAAAGCATCATCGAGGAGGAGATCGAGAAAATGCTCAACGAAGGAGTAATCAAACCATCAACCAGTCCCTGGAGTTCTCCGATCGTTGTAGTCCGGAAAAAGGACGGCAAACCGCGTCTGTGCATCGACTATCGGAAATTAAACAAAGTCACCCGCAAAGACGCTTATCCATTGCCGCAAATCAACGCGACGTTGGATAAGCTCAGAGGGGCAAAATACTTGTCGACCATCGATTTAAAGAACGGGTACTGGCAAGTGCCCCTGACGCCAGAAAGTAAGCCTTTGACCGCTTTCACCGTCGCGGGGAAGGGCTTATTTGAATTCAATGTAATGCCTTTTGGCTTACATTCTGCGCCTGCTACATTCCAGAGATTGCTCGACCAGGTAATCACACCGGAGTTGCTCCCGAACGCCTTCGCGTACCTGGATGACATCGTCATCATTTCGAAGACGTTTGACGAGCACCTAGAAACCTTGAGAGTTGTCTTTGAGCGACTGAGAAACGCCAAATTGAAACCAAATCCGGAAAAGTGCCAGTTCGCCCGAGTAAAATTAAAGTACCTCGGACACATCGTCGATCAGAATGGTCTGCACGCCGATCCAGACAAGACCGCCGCCGTAATAAATCTCACGCCGCCCAGAAACGTGAAAGAAATCCAACGCTTCATGGGTTTGATCTCATGGTACCGACGTTTCCTGAAAGACGTATCCAGTGTCGCTGCCCCGTTACACCGTCTCCTGCGCAAACGAGCGAAATGGGAGTGGTCGGAAACGCAACAAGCCGCGTTTGATGAAGTGAAAAAGTTATTAACGAATGCTCCAATATTATCCTGTCCAGATTGGAGCCAGACATTCGTTCTCCAGACCGATGCCAGCCAAGAAGGGCTAGGCGCCGCACTTACCCAACAGATACACGGATCCGAAAGGGTGATCGGCTATGCCAGCCGGACACTCACCAGTGCCGAGAAAAATTACTCGGCAACCGAGCTAGAATGCCTTGCAATCAAGTGGGGCATCTGGAAATTCCGTGACTATCTGGAGGGGTATCACTTCATCGTCCTGACCGACCATCACTCCCTAAAGTGGCTAAATTCCATCAAGAGCCCTACCGGACGACTGGCTCGTTGGGCGCTAGAACTAGGGCAGTACGACTTTGAGATCCAGTACCGACGAGGCTCCGATAACCTACTCGCCGATACGCTTTCCAGACAACCGCTCGAAGTTTGTGCGGCGGGAGTTCCGTCATCCGACTGGTACAGTCGAAAGTACCGAGAGGTAGAAGAGCACCCCGAATTAAATCCTGACTACCGGATAGAGAATGGCCAGCTCCACCGGCATATTCTACATACGCTCGACTACAACGAGACTCCTGAAGCACAACAATGGAAGATCTGCATTTCCGGCGACCAGAAGACCAGAATTTTGCGTGAAAACCACGACGATCCACCAGCAGGGCACTTGGGCATCGCGAAGACCATCGTTCGCCTGGCGAAAACATTCTATTGGCCTGGAATGTTTCGGGAGGCAGCACAATATGTGCGCAATTGTAATAATTGCCAACGATTTAAAACCGAACAGCGTAAACCCCCCGGGAACATTACATGCGCTCGACGTGAAGGAACCTTGGGAGATCGTAGCCGCCGATTTGGTCGGACCGCTTCCAAGATCAGAAAATCTCAATACATGGCTTCTGGTCTTGCAAGACAAACTGACCAAATGGATTGAATTGCAACCGATGAGAAAAGCCACGGGAACCGCGGTAGCGAAGGCCCTCCGAGAGAAAATCCTGTTGCGACATGGCTGTCCGCGAATTCTAATCACCGATAATGGCCGACAATTTATCTCGACCGATGTCGAAAGCCTGCTCAACAAATACCAGATCACTCACCGCCTGACACCGCCATACACACCACAATGCAATCCGGTCGAAAGAGCAAACAAAGTCATAAAGACTATGATTTCTCAGACAATAGAGAAATCCCAGAAGAAATGGGATAGATTCATCCCAGAGATAGCCTATGCGTATAACACCGCGCACTGCGAATCAACAGGATACACGCCAGCTTACTTGAATTTCGGCAGAGAATTGCGACCGTCCGGGAGTGTAGGCCAAGCATCTGAAAATACGGAAAAAGAAGATTCCGAGACGCGAATAAAACAGATCCGGGAAGCGTTGGAACTCGCGAAAGTAAAATTGGCGCAGAGTTTTCAGCGGCAACAGCACCATTATAATCTCCGGCGCCGCGATTGGAGGCCCCGAGTCGGGGAAGAAGTGTGGAAGCGCACGCACGAGTTATCCAGCAAAGCGGATGCTTTCAATGCAAAGCTCGCGGCTAAATTCGAGGGTCCTTTTATTATTCACCGGGTGCGATCGCCTGTGGTCTTCGATCTGAAAACCATCGACGGTAAAAATACCGTGTCGCGTGTACACATACGCGACCTCAAATCAAATCAAACTCGATAATGGGCCGGTACTCCGCGCGGACTATTTTTCGAAGCCTGTATCTCGCCAAATTACTTCGAAAGATTGTATTTCCCGGATTACCTCCGAGGACGATATTTCCTGAAAAGTTCCGGACCATAGCCGCAGCATAGTAAGGCGTTTTTGATTAACTTGCGGCGATCGCCTGTTATTTACGATTACCGCCGGGCCTGTATTTCACTTAAATTCCTGTCGGACTTGTATCTCGCCCAAACTACTTCCGCGAACTACTTCCGGAATTTTCCGAACGAGGGCCACCCTGCTTTCCCCCTCCACCCACGCGCGTCCAATAAAACTTCGCAAGCCGGACGCGGAAAAATTAGTTTGCCGCCGAGCTTCCAACATGACGGACCCAACGCTGAGGACACCGACGCTCCCGCGGATGTTCGTGCCGCCGGCCAAGCCGCCCCTAGCCGGGTTAACGCCGAGCCATCCACCGGGCGACCGAACAAGTAAGGCGGAGAAATTTTGGCGGAAAGTCGTCTCACGGCGCGTCCGGAATAACCCGGAGAGGATCCGCCGCGGGATCGACGGACGATGGCGACCACCGGAGGATATGCCGGTGATCAACCTCTCCGAGGAGGAGGACGGGCCACCGACCGACGCCGCTCCCGCCTCCGCTCCGACCGCCGGGCCCACCATCAGGCTTATCGAAGTGGTCCCGCGCCACACTTTCCGGTTGGTGAGACCCCCGGACGGAGGAAGAACATCCGCCGTTTCTGCAGCCGGAGCCGCGGCCCCAGCCATCACGCCCAGAACAGCCGCCAGCAGAAACGTCCACACGGCCATTCCGGGCCCTGGTATAAGGGCCACCCACACTGCCGCCCCAATCGTTCGGCCCCCCGCACCAGCGACAAGAAACACGCCAGCCACCGCTACCCCCGGACCAACACCGGACTCCACGCAGAAGAGGACGGAGCCGCGGATGCCCCGCGACCCCTTCTGTGTGAGACCGACACCGCGGGAGGAGCGGGACGTGGTGGTGGACGGGTGCCTGATCCGGGTGCCCATCGGCAGTAAGCGCTGGCGCACCCGGATCGGGAAGATTAAATACGCCCTCCGCCTCAATCCAGCCACCGGAGACGTGCGACATTGGTCGAAGCGCCAAGTATAAACCGTAAGTAAGAAATAAAATTAAGAATTTCGAAGAGCGAAAAGTCGGAAATTTCGCTCTCCGAAAGGAGGGGGGGGTGTAACGGGGGTAGCGGGGAAGGCGCGGCCGGAAGTGGCCGCATTCCGCGCATTCCACGTGTAACGGGGGTAACCGGGAAGGCGCGGCCGG